CATTAAAGGAAGAATACTTGCTACATCCGTCGGTAAACCTTCCTGCTCATTTACTTCAGTTACTTCGTATGATTCATTTACTTCATTTACTTCGTATGACTCATTTAACATCTCGGTTCCGGGCATTGTTATTATTTATAAACTATATTAACGTGGGTAACTTCTGAAGGTTTATAAGTAGACTTGTTCTATCTCAATCTCTTGAGGCTTCACTATGTATAAAGTTAGACCAAACTAAACATATATTTTACAAATATATGGTAAAGGCCGTGATAGATAAACGGATGCAAGAGTGAAGCAAAGGGCACCGTAGAAATACGTAGAATAAACCCAAATAAAATGTTACAGTCTCGTAAAAGTCAAACTATTGGACGTAATAAAAAAAAAAAAAAAAAAAAAAAATTATATATATATAGAAGTATCTAAAGGAAGAAGATTTTCTAATGATTGATTTTACAATAGATTTTATATTGTGTATTATATTATTTGTTATGTATAAAAACCGTTTTCTCTTTTCTTCCCTTGCGACAAGTATAAAAGCGGTGGCTATGATTAGACAGCCAAACTAACGGTTACTGTATGCAAGGATACAAAATGAGTAATTGCTTTTACTTCGAACACAGTAATCGTTATAGATTGAAAAAAAATTTCGCGAATGATACAAGGGGTCTATGACTTATCTTTGTCTCATCACACATCGTGTCACCACTTTCCACATCTTTCCACATACAAACATAATAACTAAACGAATATAACTAGTCTGCAAATTTACTGTTGGGGACGGTTTGGGCTGAAATTTACTTTTATGTATCATGTTGGACGAAAATCTTGAAACACAAAAAAAAAAAAAAAGCAGCTTTGAATACAATGAAAAAATCCGATGCATTCATACACGTCAACCCCAACAATCTTGTCCAATGATGAAAAAAAACAAAAGTAAACAAAAAAGGAAATAACAGAACATAGCATATAAACTTTAAAATTATTACCCCACCAACTAATTGTAAGTCAAAAAGTATTATTCTTGTCCTTTTTTTATTATTGAATCAGTATTATCATGACATTCCGCATTACTCTTCTTGTCTGGACGGAAGTTTGCATTCATAAGTTCTCTTACCCGAGAAATAAAACTCTCGGCTGCGGAAGAAGGAACAGATATATGCGATGATAATGATTCTAGCATTTTATCAAGGCGCGAGACATCGTCCTCATTTCTAAAGGATTCGGTCATGTCAACTCGCCTTAATGATGACAATAATTGTTAGTCAAAATTATGCATTGTTACAATAGCATTATCATGACCATTGTCGTGCTATATTTATATTTATTGTGAAAAAAGAAATAAATGCTTTTTAATGTCAAATTAATGATACAATCAACAACACACTTACTGATCATAATTTTGGTATTCCTCGATCAGCTCAGATAATTGTGTAAACATTTCTTCGGGTAAACTTGCACTTGGTGATACCGAATGCTGACATGAATAAGGTGTTCCTGATATATAATAAAGAATATACAAATAACCACTTCGAACGGAGCTTGAATAATTATAATGTGTTTTTTGAATTTCGCATTGATTTTTCATAATAGCATCTAACAAAC